TCACGTGTGCAAAACCTGCGGAAAGGCCTTCAATCGAAGCTCCACGCTGAACACGCACATGCGGATCCACCAAGGTGTGCCTTTCGGGTGTATTTTTACTGCACTTTAATGTCTACTGAGTTGTTTAAAGTAAAAAGGTTTAGGTCTCTGCTGACGTCCACCAAACAATTGTAGTACGGAACATGCTCATCCCCCCCGACATGAGGTTCCCATTTAAGGCATTCGCATAGCGATAAATAGTAGCGAAGAAGGAATATCGACGAAGACAGATGAAACATTCAGATGACAAGTTCTGGCTCACTAGCCGGCGTCAGCCGGCCATACTCCAACCCAGCTTTGGATAACCCTGGGATCGAATCCGAGCTGTAATCTGATTGGCCAACGTCCGTTTCAGGTAAAATAATATTCTGATCGTAATCGACAGGGCAGCGAGTGAGCGATTTGATGGTAGGGCATTTCAGTTAACATCCAGGGACCTAGAAGTCGGGGTCCAGGCCTTGGATTATCCAAACCTGGCTCGGCTAACAAACTAGACGGGAATATTCCGATCTGCCTTGCACCTGTCTGGATCATCTCTCTGGCAGTGTTTGAGTGCTCTACAAGTGCGGTGATCTCATCTAGATCGCCGAAATCTCGCTCGATTTCTGATTGAGCTGGTGGTCCTCTAAACACAGCCATATTGAATGACAGTTATCATAAATTAACGGAGGAATACTAATGACCAGTAATGTACCCAACGCTTAGAGCTACTTGCATTTTTTATCGCTAGGTGTCAAACCATTCATCTGCGAGGTGTGCAACAAAGGCTTTCACCAGAAGGGGAACTATAAGAACCACAAACTGACACACAGTGCCGAAAAGCAGTACAAGTGCCCCCTGTGTCACAAGGCTTTCCATCAGATCTACAACCTCACCTTCCATATGCACACTCACAACGAGCAAAAACCGTTTGTATGCAGCTGTTGTGGCAAAGGCTTTTGTCGCAACTTCGATCTCAAGAAGCACTTTCGAAAGCTCCATGGTGAGGCGGGCACTGAGGGAGACTCCAGGCTGAACACGATCAGTCCACTAGTAGATCGGAAGAGCAGACTGCGGGATGTTTCTAAGCGCAGAGACAGTGTGTCAAAACCAAGGTACAGGACAGTTCCAGATATGGAACTCAAGATCCGACTCCAAAAGTACGCCCTTTTGACTCGGCCGCAGAGACCCATGATTCATCGGTCTCCGAGTGATCGCCATGGCAACAGGTTACACGGCCCTGGCAAGCAGTGGCTCTACGAGGAATCAATGCCGGAGGACCCGAAAACGACCCACTTCTCGTCTTCAGTACCTTTTCAGTCCCCTACAGCCGTACCGGTGAGCCAACACCAGGGCCAGTTCTCTCCTAGTGCAGTTTTCACCCCCGGCTCCGGACAATTCCCGTTCCCTAATAAAATGACGGAGTCGATCTACTTCCCGGGTCACTTTGTGCCCCCAGAAATCCTCGCCTGCATAAGACAGAGTCAAACCCTCATGAGACTGGGC